CATGGACCAGAGCACGCCCGGCACTTCTGTCTTCCACTGCCTCCCGCAGTTTGGTCAGACTCATGTTTGTAGCTTCGAAGACACTATCCAACCATCTCATCCTCTGTCGTCCCCTTCTCCTTGTGCCCTCCATCTTTCCCAACATCAGGGTCTTTTCCAGGGAGTCTTCTCTTCTCATGAGGTGGCCAAAGTATTGGAGCCTCAGCTTCACGATCTGTCCTTCCAGTGAGCACTCAGGGCTGATTTCCTTCAGAATGGATAGGTTTGATCTTCTTGCAGTCCATGGGACTCTCAAGAGTCTCCTCCAGCACCATAATTCAAAAGCATCAATTCTTCGGTGATCAGCCTTCTTTATGGTCCAGCTCTCACTTCCATACATCACTACTGGGAAAACCATAGCTTTTACTATACGGACCTTACTATACGGATTCATATTTATGATGCAATTACCCAGTTACATTTTTGACATATCGCCCCATGTTTTCCCCCCAACAGATTGTTTTACAGCATTCATTCAGAAAAATACAGAAGAGATAGCCACAGAGGGGAGAAGCACAACAATAACTTGCTTCTATGATATGGAATACAGATTTGACAATAAATATTGGTGCCGAGGAAGTTCCCGAACGTCTTGTGATATTTTAGGAGAAACAAATAAGTTTGTAAAGTGGAACTATAAAAGCAGATTGACACTCCTTGATAACAGGAAAGGCGTCTTTTGGGTGACAATGCACCAACTGACAGAAGATGATTCAGGAACATATTGGTGTGGAATTGAAAGGCCTTTTGCTGACATAATGACTTCAGTGAAACTGAAGGTAAATAAAGGTAAGGTGTCATATGAGTCTCATCACCACCTTTATTGTTATAATGCAAATAGAAATAAAGTTCTTGTTGCCAGCTCTGATGGAGTAAGTCAGCCTCGTAAATACAGTAACTGCACAAAAGTTACCAGCCTCCATTTTTTTTATACTACCCTGTATTTTCATGCTGGCCAAAGAGGAAGGGATGTCCTTTCCTCTGTGGTAAGCATTAAAGCCTGGTTGTTGTTTTAAAAAGGACTTCTACCAAGCAGACTGGTAGAGGAGGGACAAAATGGCAAAGTGATCTCTCCCCTCTCTGCAAGTCTCCACCATTTCTGTGCTTGGTTGTGGACAAAGAAACTTTCCTTCCTCTACAATTGGAATTGAAACCAAGAGGGCTGGCAGAAAAAGGACAGAACAGTGTATCCTTCCACTGGTAACCCTTCTCCCTTGCCAGCATAGAATTTCATGTGCTCATCTGCATAGAATTTCTGAGCACTTAGGCTAGATTACTCAGTAGGCACCAGTCATGTTACATTAGGAAGGCCAAGAAAAGTATGCATAGTTTCACCCCAAAACTGACATTCCAGTTACATATATAACTGGAGCAATTAGGGATTGCATAGAACTTCCCAGTAGTTTATGCACTTACAGTGCAATCTTATACAAGCAGTCTTCGCCTGTTCTCATTCATACTGCTAATAACAAAGTGTCACACACCTAACTTTAGATCACATGAGTAAGGTATTCAGTTGCAAATCTCCATTTTACAGGTGGGTAGCTGTGTTGGTCTGCCAAGCTCATACCAATAAAAAACCTAGCTGGTCTCTAAGGTGCTACTGGAAGGAATTTTTTATTTTGTTTCAATCTCCATTTTGTGGGAGTTGTCTTTTGTTCTCAAGCAACTAAAGACAAAGATGTGCAAATGTGTCTCTCCTGGAGAAAACAGCCTCAGTCTGGAATACAAGCTAATGGAATGGCTGTCATGCTGCTACTCTGGCCTGTATTGATTGCTCTAGCCATTTCCTTCTCTATGGCATGTTATCCTGCTGATTTTATAAAAACAACATGTTCTTTATAATTTTTCTTCCCTCCCACCCCCATTGCAGTATGGGGAGGAGCAATCATGACCACTGATGGGGAGAGGAAGTGTTTAATTTCCCACATGCCATGTTCTTCATATTAACCACAGGTGAGGGTTTTTGGGGGGGTGAGGTGGGGCTGATTGCAGTGCTTGGTATTGTTTGGTTGCTGGCTGAGTAGCTAGGCCCTGGACTATACCCACATCCCAGCTCTTATCAGGCCACGACGTGCAATCCAATGTCTTCCCCGGTCTATTCTAAGGTTACCAGATTTTTTCAATGAATCTGGGGACACTTTTCAACTTCAGTGGATTTTGTATGGGGATTGATTTGTAAATCCAGGGATTGTCCCCGGGAAACAGGGACATGTGGTAACCTAAGTCTACTCTGGCTTGTCCCCTTTGTTGCTGATGACAGACCACTGATGACAGAACAGCGAGGTATCAGAGCTTCCATGCCTGCAATGGGGAGACTTGCCAGAACAAAAATCCTCTTCTGCCTGCCTCTCCCTGACAGTTAGAAAGATCCACTTTACCTTATGGCCACTCTGATGCCAGTTCCAGAGACTCTAGGATCGCACCCTAAACCAAGAATTATTTTTCATTATTCATTGCTTGCACAGCTAATAACCACAAATCATTTCTATAGTATTTTTCAGTGTAAAGGGTGTGCTACCTTTCTCATAGCACAAGCAATTTGCCCAGGACTGTAAATATAACAAATTATATTTCATTGCTATTTTTCAGCTCCTACAACACGTCGCCATGTGCAAACCAGTCCTCCCTCCACTCCCTCATCTACAGCTAAGGTTACTACAGCTTTCCCAGATATTTCCGATTTTAATTTAAATGCATCTGTGTCTTCCAATGCCACTTGTCATCATAGAGTCACAGAAAGGTAAGTGCCATCTAATCATAAGATTATATTTGGCTGGCTAACTTTGCATAAACAGAATCCACATTTTGTTTCTAAATCAACCTTTTATTTCTGCTCTGGTGTACATACTAGAAACAATGAGCCCCAGTTCATTACCTGCCACATTCCCAATAAAGGAGACAATGAAAAAATGTTGTACTTGCCAGTTTGGGGGTGGGGATACTCTGATTGGGTTTGAACACAAAATTTGGTAAGTTCCCTTTGACTTAATCAGTGAGGGTTAAAACTGCATGAAGAATAACATCTGACCATAATTAGCATAACTATTTATGTGTCTTAAATGCATCACTTTTATGTGACTTCAAAGCATCACTTTCAAGGACTGGGAAGTTCAGCCACCAACACCCACTTCCAAACCTTATCTCCCCCACTCATGCACCTGCTATTTGCATTGATAAAATGAGTTGTGCAAGTTGTGCTTAGTGTTTCCCTGGGCCTAAGGCAGGCACCCTGTTAAGCAGTTGCTCCATGTGTTTTATGATTGCTATCTGCTTTCTTGCTGGAGGCAAAAACTAGCATTTAACACCTTTTGTTCTGCAGCAATCAATTGTGGGGGTGAGGGGTCCACAGTTAAGGCATAACTACAATTTCCCTATGGTGCCAAGATGTATACAAATGGCAGGGTGGTGGTGTGTATCATCACCAGGAGAGCAAAAGCTTGTCTTTCCCCATCACAACATACAGTGCTCATAATGGTTAAATTTCCTTTAGTTGAGATACGACTCCAGTTTGTAATTTACTTTCTTGCAAAATCAGTAAGAGCAATTGTTTAGGATTCCCCCCTCTTTCCTCCTCTGTTTTAGAAACTGGAATTATAGCCCATGGGGTATTCTACGCTGGGTGTTCATGGTTCTTCTCGTGGCTTCTTTCATTGTGATTCATTGGAACATCATATCTACATAATGTAAGAGTGTATTTATTGTCAACTATTACCCCTGAGGATTATTACAGTCTATTTAAGAGCATATTGGATTTATTAGTGAAAATCTTTGGCCCAGGAAAGCAAAGAACCGTAGAGGAGGAAGCTGTAGAGGAGAACCACTTTCCAAAGCTCCTCCCTCTTTTCAGCCCAGTGGGCTGAAGAGGCTTGGCAAGGGCTTCATGTCCACCCTTCATTGTGGGGCAGAAGGGGGCGTGCCTCAGGCCTCACACACCAAAACATCTCAGGCCACCCCTGGGAGAAAGCGATTTTGACCTGCCTAATCATCAGCAAAAGCAGAATCCTTTATACTAATCCCCCATAACCAATTCAGCCTTATTGTTGAGATTAGAATGCAGAGAGCAGTAGTGGCATGAACAAGTTAAGGAGCTATCAATATTTGTTCCCTATCCATAAAATTGTGACAGTTTATTTAAATCCTGCCATTGAGTCGATATTCTTTCTTTGTTTCTGCAAATATTGTAACAAAGGGAAAATATGATAAATTGGGGGGGGACAGCAGAATATAATAATGAGGATAATAAATCAGAAATGGAAGTTGAGGGAAGTCCAAAGGGTGGGAGGGGGAGATGTTATGCAAACTGTATATTATAAGTATATTTGTGATGAGAAAAAAGAATATCAATAAATTTTTAGTTTATTTTTTTTAAAGGTATCAATTTTTGGGGATATCAAATTTAGTAAAACATCCCAAAGTGAACTATTCTCCATGCTATAGGGGAAAGTGGCCACTAAATGAAACTGAGAGGAAATGGTCTCCCGTTTTATGCAGCAGGGATTGCAAACCTGTGGTTCTCCATAGGTTGTTGGCCTACAGGTTGCATCATTCCTGACTGTTGGACATTGCTGGTTGGGCCTGTTAAGGAATTGGAATCCATCATCATCTTAAGGAACCACAGGTTCCATAGCCCTGTTACAAAGGATGACCAGAGTGAGCAAGTTTAAAGTTCTCTTGGGTGCCCCCCCCATTTTATTTGTTTGTCTTTTAAAGTGCTTTACAAAGCTTTTAAAAAAAAATAACAAAAACAAACTAGGCTTATTTTGGCAGATGGCAAAATGAGATAAACCCAGTGAGTTGAGCTGAAATATGTGGCCCAATTTTCCAAGTATTCAAAACAAAACTATATAGTTATCACAGGAAACATACAATCAGTCAATCCAAGCCATTGAAAGATGGAATGTTGTGCGGAAGTGTGGTCACATGAGTGACTTTTGGCATCACTGAAGGCACACAACACCTAGATATCATCATTTTATTTTATTTGGTGATTTAAATTAAAACAAAACAAAATAAAGGCAGGTCGAGTGCAATTCTAGTGCAGGAAAGTTTTCCAGCTCCATTTCTCTTAGAGTAGCAAAGCAGAGCTAGGCATATTTTATTAAAAGTGATATATTAGGGATTATTTTGTCCTCTTCTGTTTTCAAGGTTCTCCTAAAATGAAAAAAGAAGGTATTAATTGGAAAAACAAAGAAAAATCAGCAAATGGAAATAAAAGACCTAACTTAGAAGCACCTTGTAAAGATCCCATCACACAGAGACAAGGTGTGAAAGAAATACTGGAAGTAATGGGGGCATGCAGTGCCAGATTTACGTATAAGCTAAACAAGCTATAGCTTTGGGGCCCAATCTCTTGGAGGCCTCCAAAAAAATTTAAAGGAAAAACAAAACCTGGATGTACATTTCCAAAATATAAGATAAAAACAAATAAAATAAAACCTACATACAGCAATAGTGTTTTGTGTTTATTAAATTACCATATAGCATATATTCAGCACAAAAAACAGCGACAATTTGTTGTTGACAAAGGACAGCTGGACATATAAAGGGCCCCATTACCTTCAGTAGCTTAGGACCTCATCAAACCTAAATCCGGCCCTTTGGGCATGCAGACAAAATGAGCAGATCCATTCCTGATTCAGAACAGAATGCTTTGGTCTAAACACAGCTTGCTCCATCCCAGGATGTATGGCAATTCTGGAAGCAAGGACTCCTGTGAGCAGGGAAAGTGCTCTACAATAATCTATTGATTTAGCAAACATCGTCTCCATCTATATTCTGTGGCCCAGGCCTCTAAACACAACAGCACCCATCCATTGTGGGGGCTGCACCCTCTTCTTTTTAGGAATAGGTATCCTGTTTCCATACATCAGACAGAGAAGGAGCAGCTGCAGTGATCTTGCTTCCCCTCCTCCCAGCTCCAATGGCCAGTTGCCCTGGAATTATACTGTTACCATCCATCAGCTGTGTTTGTGCGTGTTGTTCTATTCTGTTGCAGGGGCAGATTTTCGTAAAACAACACCCTGAGCAAGGACAAAATTTGGTGGCACCCCATAATATTTATTCCTTTTGGCACAGATGCTTTTTAATGGATCTTCTCAGTATGTACTTGTATAAATATATAATTACTGTTGTTATTAATGTTATTTTTTGCCCCCTCAGCTCAGCACTCTGTGCGGGAGAACCACCCACATGGCCCTAAATTTGGCACTGTTCTATTACAAACTATTGCCATCTATGCTATGATAATCTCTAGGTTAGATTACTGCAACTCATTATACAGCGGGCTTCCTATGGACACTTGGAAACATCAGCTGGTATGCAATTCCATGGCCAGGTTGCACACTGGAACATATTACACTGTTCCTGGCCTGAACGCACTAGCAGCCTATCAGTTTCCAGGTCTAGTTCAAAGCCTTAAATGGATCAAGACCACAACACCTCAAGGATCGCCTCTCTCCATATGAACTGACCTGAACCCTGCAACCATCCTCTGAGGCCCTTCTTCATGTGCCTCCTCCATGAGACGGCTGCAGGGTGGTAACACCAAGTCGGGCCTTTTCTGTGGTGGCTCCCCATTTTGTGGAAGGCTCTCCCCAAGGAGGTTTGACTGGCGCCTTCATCACATATCTTTAGGCTCCAGACAAAAACGTTTCTCTTCAACCAGGCGTACGGCTGGACTTCCGGCGAGGCAGCATGGCGGCTGCAACAGCAGAAAAGAGCTCCTGAAGCCAGCCAGAGTAAAAGGCTCTGTCTGGCCACCCCAGGGCTCCCAGGTCTGCTGCCGCCAGCACCAACAACGGAGAGGAATCGGGGGTGCCCAGGCATCTATCAAAGGAGCCAAAACACCCCCCCCACGACTGAGATTGAGCCGGAAAGGCACCCGACCACCCCCCCAACAGCAGAGAGGAGCTCCAAAACCAGGAGGACAGTGGAGCCAACACAAAGAGGGAGAAAGAAAGGGGGAGAGAGGAAGAAAAAGAAAGAAAAAGGAGCCCCAAACTTACCGCTGCCGCCCCCATCTCTGCCAAGGAGAAAGCAGAGGAGAGGTACGTGAGCACGGGAAGGCAAAAAAGGCTCCGAAAAAACAACACGTGGCTGAGCCCCACCGGGAAACACAAAGAAGCAGCATAACAAAGGAGAAACTACCTTTTTTTTCCCCTCCCCCCCTTTTTTTTTTAACCCCCTTCCTTTTTTAACCCCTTCCTCCCCCTCCCTCCCCCCTTAAAAAAGCAGGGGAGAGGTAAGGTGAGCACGGGGAAGCAAAAAAGGCTCCGAAAAACAACAAACGTGGCTGAGCCCCACCGGGGAAACACAAAAGAAGCAGCATAACAAAGGAGAAGACTACCTTTTTTTTTTTCCCCTTCCCTTTTTTTTTAACCCCCTTCCTTTTTTTTAACCCCTTCCTCCCCCTCCCCCTTAATATATATATATATACCTTTTTATCCCTCCCCCCATATACCTACTTTTATCTCTTTTCCTTATAAAAGAGGGTCCACTGCTGCTGCAGCCACCCTTTATTTGAATCTTTACCGCTGATATTACTGTACTATCTCTCCCTTCTCTTTCACTCCAATCTCCCCTCTCCCCCCCGCCTCCCCCCTTTTTCTTTCTTTCTTCTTCTTCCCTTTCTTCTCCCTCCACCCTTTACATATAGCCTACTTGTCTGTCTCTGTTTCTGAGCGCACTCCCAACCCCAACTTCCACCTCAACTGGACCCCAATACCCCTTTTGGGCATATACAACCCCCTCCTAACACATATCTCCCCTGGCCCCACCCCTCCAATCTCTTGCATCTCTACCTGCTAACCCCCCTCCCTTTATATGAACTGTCTGCCCGTCAGTCTACCCATCTCTGCTTACCTGCCCCCCCCGCCTCGGCGGCACCGCTGAGGCATCTACAGAAGCCCTAAAGAAGTTCTTAAAACACAGACTAGAAGTGACACAAATGACCACCTAATCCAAACGCTCTGTAGAAGCCACCAACCAACAAAGCCTGATCAGCTCAGCAACCCAACAATACCCAGGAATCACCACTGCCAC